AGGGGCCTGGGACTCAGCCTCAAGGTGCCTTTGCACTCATGCAAGGTAGAAACTTGCACTTTGTACCAAAAAAACAGGATTCTGTGGTGTCAGGAACCCCCAGTATCCCTCACAGTGTGGGCATGTGGTCTCCCTCCCCCTCTACTCTGCCTTGGTGAGACCACATCTGCAATATTGCGTCCAGTTCTGGGCCCCTCAGTTCAAGAAGGACAGGAACTGCTGGAGAGAGTCCAGCACAGGGCTACAAAGATGATGGAGGGAGTGGAGCATCTCCCTTCTGAGGAGCGGCTGAGGGAGCTGGGGCTCTTTAGTTTGCAGAAGAGGAGACTGAGGGGAGACCTCATTCATGGTTATAAATCCATAAAGGGTGAGTGTCACGAGAATGGAGCCAGGCTCTTCTCGGTGACAAACAATGATAGGACAAGGGGTAACGGACACAAACTGGAACACAGGAGGTTCCACTTCAATTGGAGAAGAAACTTCTTCTCAGTGAGGGTGACAGAGCCCTGGCCCAGGCTGCCCAGAGAGGCTGTGGAGTCTCCTTCTCTGCAGACATTCAAAACCTGCCTGGACACCTTCCTGTGTAACCTCATCTGGGTGTTCCTGCTCCGGCAGGGGGATTGGACTGGATGAGCTTTTGAGGTCCCTTCCAATCCCTAACGGTCTGGGATTCTGTGATTCTGTGATCACTCGAGGCCCTGCCTGGTTCTGGGCTTTGGCTGGTGGCTCCCTTGTCTCTGGTCCCAGCACAGGGGGTCAGCATGGCCCAGGTCCTGTCCCTGTCACTGACAGGAGTCCTGAGGTTGTGTGCTACCTGTGTACCAGGTAGGTACAGCCAGGAGTGAAACAGGCAAGTTGTGGTACAGGGTCAAGGGAGTTAATTTGACAATTACAGCTTGAATCGGTTTGCAAATGTCAGTTTGTCTGATGTCTCCTGGCTCAGAGAGAGCTCTCTCCCCAAAGGGTGCAATAAAGATGCACAGCTCAACTTCAGTTTATTAAAAATACTGAGCTATCAATAGCCACCTGCGAATAGCAGAGGCTGTCCTCTCCAAACTTCTCCCCGCGTTTCCTGTAATACAACCACCACGTAACACCACCCCCAACACAGGCGCACACCTACACACGGACTCTGTGCTCCGATACCTTTTGCACTCGCACTCAGCTGCCTGAAGGACGGATCCTGGCTCTGCGCTGCTGGGGGAGCAGTGGGCTGTATCTTTACACAATAATAAAAGCTGTGTGCCTGGCACCTTATGGTGAAAAGTTGTGCGTAGAGTGGGAGGGCTTGGCCTGAGTCCTTCCCCACTCTCTTTACACGTCTTTCTCCGTGTTTCTGAAAAGCGCATTTACAAGTTTGTTATCGCTCCAGTAAATCTGCAGGTGTTTGCTTTCAGGGTGTGAGCAGGTTGGTGTGGAAAGGCAAAGCTTTCTTCAACCCCTGACCTGAGACAAATGAAAAAATAGGTCACGGAGCAGTGCTTTCTCCCCAGGACGGTTACCTGGCTCGCTATCACGGTGACCCAAGTCATCCTGATGAACACGAAGGGTGCGAACAACGATACAGCGAAGTGCCTGCCTCCCCTAGAGGCCTTTGGCCTCACACACTGATGGTGATGATGGAGACGTGTGCGTACGTGGGTCTGGGGGTCTGAGGGAGCCTTTCAAGGAGCACAGACCATATTCATCATCCTTATCCTGACCTCGTTGCAATGCCGTGCACTGCTGATAACTCCTTGGGATAAAAGCTGGCTCCATCCATCTCCTTCCTTCCACAGGGCGCAGCGCTGACTCTCCTGACACCCAGACCATCTTTGGAATGAGTCTCTGCCTTATCACAGCCTGAGGAGATACAGCCACAGGCTCTCCATAGTGTGGGGGGATATTTTTACGTCTCCTCAGAGCCCTCTGGGCTTCAAGTAAAGTATCCGAGCTATAAAAGGGCAGAATGTTGATTATTGTCTTGGGACATCTCGATTTCTAGAGACTCCTCCAGTCCTGACGTGCAGGGCTGTGTGTGGGACCACTCACTGGTGTGTGTAGATGCTTTTTATAAATGTCTGTGGGACAAAAACCACTTGCTCCTTGGGATCCTCAGCTTTTGCAGAGGAGGCAGAGCATGGAGGCACATATAGCTGTATGTATGTACCTATAGAGATATATAGGTATAGACAAATAGAGGTATATATTGTGCCTGTTCAAGTGCATCATTCCAACCTGCTTTGCTACAAATCAGCTCTGCTTCACCCTAAAGAGACAGAACAGGTCCCCACAGCGTGGCTGACTGGTACCCCAAGGCTGCTCCAAAGGCTGGATTTCACATTTTTCTAGTTCTCTCTATCATTTTCTGCTGCTCTCTTTCTGTCTGTCTCATTGCAGGAGTCTCTTTGGTTTTAATTTACAGTGCCATTCCTGCCTGCACAGAAGCTGGCAGCTCTAATGCAAGGCTCATACCCTGCGTATAGGAGTGAGCATGCAGTGTCTTGGCCTGCCAGGGCAGGAACACCACAGCTCGCAGGGCCCCCAGCCTCGGCCATGGGTTTCCTCTGCAGGCTCGGGCACGTCCCCTGCCTCTCCTCTGATTCCTCTCTGCAAAAAGCACGTTCCTCTGCAGGAGTCAATGCCACGGTGGTGGCAAGGGCAAACGTGACCCTGGAGCGAGCGTGCAGCCAGCAGCGTCCTTTCTCACCCCGTCACCGCGGTCCTTTAACAGGTTAAAACACAGACAGTGCGCTAAAGATTAAAGATGCCTGGATTCTCCCTACTGGAAGCTGTAGAAATACCCCAGACAGCAGCTAAAATCTAATCTCACATTTTTAAACAGCCTCTGTTGCTTTTTACGAGCGTTTGAATCAAGCAGTGGGAATCGAAAGCAGCTGTTACTCAGTCACTGCACAGAAACAAGCAAGCGGCAGCTGAAGTCAACCGCAAAACGCCTCCAATTTCAGTCAAAGTCAGAGAGCAAGGACACTGGAATAAGGAACAAATCAAAGAAAAGGGTTTCCTCCTCCCAGGTGTGCTGCTGGTGGGAGGGCTGAGTTATCTGTCATGAATTATTCACCACTCCTAATAATGTTTTGATGATTTTTTTGCAGGTAGAAAGAGGGAGAGAGCCCCCAGTTTGCATCGTGCTGCCCCCAGACAGCTTCTGGCTGCAAACACCTCATCTGCCTGGAGAGGAGGCATCCAGGGAGCCCTGTCCTGGCTGGGCCCCATCCCTGACAGCACCCTACCTGCACCCCTCCCGCACCCCCGGCACCCACCATCCCATGCCGTGAGGGTGGGGAAATACCCATAGCTTCCCTGTTTTCCTTCTCCCTTGCTGATTCATCAGGATTCAAGTTCCTGGACATCAACCTTCAAAACTAGACATTTATACCTGTCAATGATACAGGAAAAAGGCTGTTTTTAATGTTTTCTCTGATGTTTTTGGTTTTTTGAAGGGGCCTCTGGCTTTTTTTGGCTGGGACCGGCAGTGTGTGGATGAAAGAGAGGTGCCTGCTGGTCTCTCCCATGATGGGGACAGCGGCAGGACCAAGCAGGTCCCTTCTTTGCTCCATGGTGCACTTCAGCCTGGTCCTGGAGGGAATGCTTATGGGGCAGCATATTGTAGGGTGGGTGGGCTACAGCTCCAAAAAAGAGCTCATTTTAGGGCTGTATCCCCAAGAACAGGGTCCGTTGGTTGCCACTTGTCGCTCATGGTCCCTTTTCTCCGGGTGTACCTGCCTAAGCCATGTCCAGAGTGCAGCCAAAGCAAAAGCAGAGATACCATTTAAAGAAGGAAAGAATAAAATTTAATGAGCCAAATGTCACAGGAAAAACCTGAAAATTAATAACTTCAGGTTTAAAACCAAGTTGCGGATGTCTCGCGGTAACCCACGGCTTGGGCACACACGCGTGGAGGCCAACTCTTCATGGTGGCTCACGTAAATGATGTGCGACATCCAGGGAAGAAGGGAGGTGGATGGAGGAATCCCAATTCTCAATGTTCCCAGTGTGCTCAGGGGGGTTCAAACATCTCCAAGAGCCTGGGGGACAAACGAGAGAGAGCTGAACACAAGGAATCCTTGAGACGAGAGCGCTCCTGCTCGGGTGAACCCAAAATGTCAGCAGCCGTAATTCTGCACCGTTAAAAAAGCAGCGTTTCATGCAAATAGTTTTGTGAAGAATTAAATCTCCCTGGCAGCATTTGCCACCTCACCACCTATATTGCTGAGCAGATGAACAGGAGAGAAATGGCTTAAAAATGAGATTAAAAGGATGCTGAGCAGTCAAAGGTCAGACTTCTGTCTCCCGCCATTTGAACCTTCTGATGTTTAAAGAGGTTTGTGGAGGGCAAAAATGAAGAGATTTTTTACATTTCTAATTTATGTATTTGGCAGTAGCTGAAGGTAGGTTTCTTTTTTTTCATTTCACACAGCTGAGGAGAGGGAAAATATTTAAGAAAAGCGAGATAACCATAAGGAACTGGCAGGGGAGACTGGGACCAGCTGTTAATAATTTGGATTTTCTTTTAAATTGAATAGATTTCGAGGGATAGTTCACCCTAACAGAAACCAGTTCCTCTGTTTTCCTCAGGCATATTTAAAGGAATGCAAAAAAAAAAGCTTAACAAGCATTAGTGGTACATTTTCCATGTTCTTTCCACTGTTAATGTTGATAGTTCTTAAGTATTAGCACAGTAGTATAGACATTTCTAAGTACTTAGTATTTTCTTAGCATCAAATCATTCGCTGCTGCACATCCCCAGAATTAACCACACACGACTGATGGGCCCAGGGCTGACGCTGTCCTGATAAATTTTAAACAACCCGAGTTACAAACAAGGTTCATTATCGTGAACGCGGCTTTTTGTGCTTTCAGAGCTGGGATTATTCCTGTGGATTTAGGGGTTGCTTGCAGGGTTTGGGTTTGGTTCCCTTGCCCCTGTTACATGCGGGATTTCCAATTTCAGAGCAAGCAGCAGGAGACCCTGATAAACTCACCTAAAATGTCTTCTTTCAGCCGGACATGATGTGCTTGACAAAAGCTGAGGAGGAAAGGAGAAACGGGAGCATGAGAGGTCAAAGCAGGCTGTGAGCTGTGGTGGGGGGCAGCAGGGAGGACCCCAGCCTGGGCACCCCAGGGATGAAGGGGACACGCTCTGCCAGGTCTGAGGGTCCTCCTTCTGTTCCCACCTCATGCCTCCCATCCCAGACCTGCTCAGTGATACCAACGCCCCCTTAGAGACAAGCTGGTACCGTTATCCCCATTTCTCTGAGGCCAAAAGAAATGGGTCCCCTCTTTTTCTCCATGCTCTCCAGTTTCAGGCATTCCCAGATTTAACCACCCCCTATGCCAGATTTTCACCCTCCTGGAGCCACGAGCGATCTGGGCCTCCAAATGTTCCCAATTAGCCTCTGCTGTGAAAGATGCTGGCTTTGCTTATTTTTGATAGCTCGCAACAAAACAGTGCCAAAACTGGGGGATAAATCAGTCCCAAAACCCTTGGAAACACGCTGTCTTCAGCTGCTCTTACTGGAAATCACTGGCACTTGTTCCACCCCAGCTGATGTCTCACAGCACTCCTTGGAGGGTAGGCCACAGCTCCCTCTCAGGATTCACCCATGTCCTTGCACAGGGCACATTTTGCACCCTAATATGAGGTGACTCTGTCTGGGACAGCCCCAGTGGAAATCTCTTGTTCCTACCTTCATAGTTGATACAGCCATTGGCATCTTCTTGCCCCGCCATGAGCTGCTCCACCTCGCTTTCCGTCATCTTCTCCCCTGGGGAAGGAGGACACAGAGGTGAGGGGAAGGGTTCTCATCCTGCCAGGACCTTCCTGTCCTTCTCCCAGACAGCCAAAGCCATCAGAGGAGGGGAAAAAGGGATTAAAAAGGAGCTGGGTGCCACTGCAGACTGGGGAGTGCTGGTGGGAGACTGTGGAGAGAGGACCACGGTGCAATGGTTGTCTGAGAGTGGGGATGTTGTAGACTCTCCATCTCACTGGTATCATGCATGAAGCTGTGGCACAGGAGGGAAAAGGCCCCCACGTTCAGGAGCCATTCACAAAACCCTACGAGCAGCAGAATAGAAAGGGTCTCTCAAACATGTGAGATCAGCAAAGTAACGCGAGCCACTTGCCCAGAAAGAGCTTAGGGGTGACCTGTGTCCCCCCATCCCCAGGGCCAGCCCGTACCCAGCGTGACCAGCACGTGGCGCAGCTCGGCCCCCATCACCATGCCATTGCCCTCCTTGTCGAAGACACGCAGCCCTTCCACAAAGTCCTCGAAGGTGCCCTGCTCCTTGTTGCGGGTGAAGTGCTGCAGGACGGGCAGGAAAGTCTCGAAGTCCAGCATCTTTGTGTTCATTTCTGGAAGGGGAGGAGGAGATGGGGTCAGAGATTAACCTCCTTAGGCTGAAATCAGCCTCTGAGGACCTGCTTAACCTTCCTGGTCTAATTTCCATCTGAGAACAGGGGAGAAACCTCACAGGGTGATGGGACTATTCGTATACTATACTTGAGATGGGAAGATCTAGATGAGAAATAAAGTATTAACACCTGGAGACTGCACACACACTGCTGATATCAGCCAAAAATGAAACCCAGCAGGTAGGTGCTCTGTCACCAATGCATTCCGGCTGCACTGGGACTGGTTACACCAGTTTGCACCAGTTCGGGATACGGTCTGCTGAGCATCAATTGCCACCATCCCCAGGTGAGAACAACCTATCCCTTACAGCAGCCATGGCACAGGGAGGGGAACAAAGGAATTACACAGGAATGAGGCCTCTGCGTCATTTCCTTCCCAATTCCTTCATCTGGCCGGGCTGTTCCTACAAGGGACGTAATCCTTCATTTGCTGCCAGGGATTCCTTGTCCCACCCTGTCCCCGCTGCCCCAGTTTGCTCTCACCTTCTGGTTTGGGCTTGCCCAGCACCTTCAGGACCTCTGCGTTGGTGGGGTTGTGGCCGAGTGCCCGCAGGACGTCCCCGCACTGCGCGTAGCTGATCTGCATGGTGCCCGTGGGCGTCCGGTCGAACAGGCTGAAGGCTTCTTTGAACTCTGCAGGGAAAAAGATGGGAAGATGTCTCCATGTCCCCTTTTCCACCCCGCTGGGAGCATGTCCAGCTTGGTGGGCAGGGAAGGGATGGACACGTGTGTGGTGGGTGCCCTCTGCACCCATCGCTGCTGCTCAAGCTGGGCTTGGGTAGCGCCACCTAAACTTGCCAGACTCCTTCACCAAGTCGCTCAGCTTCCCCAGCAGGTTTTGCCACCCATGAGGAGCTGGGTGGATGAATCCTGCTGGGATTCCTGCACCACCTTGCGCTGGCACGGGCTGCTGTGTCTGCTGCAGAACATCCCCTCCTCTGCTCTTCCCCTTTCTGACTTGGGTCTCCTGAGGACCCCATGGCCCTCCCCTGCACCCCCATGACAGCCCATCTGCTCTGCTGGCATCCCCCCAGCCAGGCAGACACAGCTCAGCATTGCCCCTGTTTGGGGAAGGGTGACCATGTCCACCTCAGCCTTGCTGACCATGTGCCAAGCCAGCCCTGCTTGGAAGGACAAGGGAGATTAATTTCCAAGCTCGCTCCCATAAATTACCATGCCAATAAGTGTTACATTTTACCTGGAGGAAGGAGGCCTAAATTAGGGACAATTAAGGATCTCTTTCCTGCTGTGTTTGATGCTTTCCAGCTGCTGGATTTTTTTTGGCCTGCTGCTGGATTCTCTTTAATTCCCACATCAGCTACATGGACAACTGTGCTCCTGGTGCTGCTCGGGGCCTGGTCTCTGCCTCTCGTTTCAACCCAGAAGATTTCCTCCACTACAACAGGCTTCTTACTGGTGTAAGCAGCTCCACAAAGGCAGTAAATCAGTGCTTTTCCTGCAGCAGATGCTCCACACACTTTTGGAGTTCATCCTGCTGCCTCCAGACCAGTGAGCCCACCTCAGCAGTCAACTGGCCCAAACAGGTAAGCAGCCTTTCCAGCCTCTGCACCTGATCGCTCAGGGCTGTGAGTTTCTTGTCCACGGTGTTGATGAACTCCAGGTTCTGGTCCATCTTCTCCATGATGGCTGGCAACACCTCGCTCAAAGCACAGCCACTGCTCTTGCTGCTGTTGAGTGGGATGAGACGATCGCAGCCTCCATGCAGAGATGGGGATGTCATGGTCTGGCAGGCATTGCCTTGGGTTTGCTGGGAATCCTTGTCTGGGGCTTTGGGTTTGCTCCATTTTCTACTTGGCATCATTATGTCTTCTACTGAGTGTCACCATCCCTTGGACCTGTCCCTGCCATGCCCATGCCATGTCCCTGCAGTCCTGTCCGTGTTCCCCCCCCAGCCCCTCAAGGCGCTGCTGTTTTCCTGCCTGACCTCACAACGGCTCCATCTCTGCAGGTGGGGTCCCTCCACCTGGCTCTGGGGGAATCTGGGGAGCCTGCGAGTCCCTGGATCGGGAGGCACTGCTACGGGGGTGCTCAATGATGTCCTCTCCCAAATACCTGGAGTCACAGCAGCACCTCACGTGCTCTGAGAGGGTGCTTCACATTAAATCCAAATATCTCAGCGTTTTGGCTTGCTCATTTTTCCACTAGCTCTCTTTTCTCCTTTCCAAAGCTATTCGGAGGCTGAGTCTGTGGGATACTGGGTCTCCTCCTCTCAGTATTCCCATCAGGACCTGCCCTTGCATCTTGTCCCTTCCCTGGTCTGCACAGAGGAATTAAAACTGGCCATGGAGAGATGAGAAAATCGAAGTCCAGCTCAGCCCCTTGGTATGGGGCTGTCCCTGCATCACCAGAGGCTGCTCCTCCTGCACAAATCCCAGACTTTGAACTGGACTGCATCTCTCCATGAATGGAAAAATACCTTTTCCCTGAACCAAGGATTATCTGCTTTGACTGGAGCACCCTCAGCGCAGAGCAAGGAGCCAGGATCCATTCCTCCCTCCCAACAGCCCAGCGTTGTGATCCCAGCTAAATCCCTGCGCTGGCTTCTGCTCCCCTCCGGTGTTGCTCCTGTCTCCATCTCCTGCCTCCTCCCTTCCCACCATAGCTCTTCCTTATCTTCTTACTGGCCCAGGACATGGATGATGCAGGTCAGGAACATGACATTTTGATTTCATGTGTCCCTTCTCCCTGCTAGGAAACCTCATGAGCCCATTTTGGAGGATGAGGAGTGCAGTGTGGGAAACAGAGTACCCAAATCCTGCTGGGCTTTCCTCCATGGAGGGATTTGATGTATGGGGCTTCGACTCTCACATCTGCTGTGAAAAACTACCTGGAAAAAGGGCTCCCCATTTCTATTACTGTCTCTGGGAGAAGGAAAAGTCAGCGCTTACCTTCGATCTGTTCTGCCGTGAATTCAATCTGTGGGGAGAAGAGAACCGGGCTTTAGGGCTGTGTTAGTGTGGGGGTAACGAAGGGGCTCCCCTCTGCATTCAAACCCTGCAGAAAGCACAGCCGGCTGCAAGGGGGGGCAGGCAGCGGGGATGGGTGGAAAGGATGTTATTTCAAGGCCTGACCCTTAGTTCAAGTGATTAAACAGCTTCTGCGCTGAGCCTGCTCTTAAAAACTCTCCTGCCACAGCTCTGGCTTAAAAATCCAACCGTATTGTGGGGAATCAGGGAAAAAAAGTGAGCTCCTGTTGTAGAGGCTGGGATAAAAGATGCTCGCACATGGAGGAGATAATGCAGGCAGCAATATATTTTAGGATGGAGGCAGTGGGGGGCAGAAAAGCTTTTTAATGCTGCAGGGGTCCTGACACAACATCTCAGCCTGGAGCTGGGCATGTTGGACTCTGCAGCTCTGGGCAGCCCCGTCCTGGTACGAGCACAAAGCAGCTTCCTTGGGTGCTGCACAGGGCTGGATGGGGGCAGATTTCCTCCCCCAGTGAGGAAAGTATCACTCCCAGCCCGCTGCATCAATGCAATCTGGCAGTTTTCCCCTCCCAGCCCTGGCTCTCAGCCTGGAGAATGCCATGTACGCGTGGCATGGCATCGCCCGTGCCTGGCAGACAATGGGCACGAAGGAAGACGGTGACGTGTGCGGTCTCGACTCACCTTCACGCTCCGGGGATCGAAGGCAGGCTCTCGGGGTGGCTCCGGGGCTGCTTTGGCTGCTTCCTTTTTCGGGTCAGGTTTCTTGAGCGGCATCTCGCTGGATCTTTGAGAAGGTGCAGGGATGAGTCCTGCTGTGCAGCGAAGCAACCGAACGGAGGGATGAAAGGCAAAGGCTGCTCCTTCCCTTATATACAGAGCCTTGTCCTCACCCCGGAGGGGCAGGCCAGCTGCTGGAGCAACTGCTACTTACTATAAAAGGAAGAAAACTCAAACGAGAGGGGCCCCAACCTGACAATTGCCCATTGTCATCAGCTCCCGGCGCAGCAAAGCCACCAGCCGTGTGTGTGTCCCCCGCCCCAAAAGGGGGGACGTCTCCCCCTCCAGCACCTGCACTGGGTGGGCTGCACGGGGGCCGCTTGCTAAATGATCGCTGAAAACCTAAACGCGAACGGCCCTGGGTGTCTGGCAGGAAAATAGCAACAGGATGGCTGATAAACCTGCCATGATACCCTCGAGAGAAACGCGTCTGTTTTTAGGCAGACCTGCAAGGGCAGATGCTGCAGAGCCCTCTTGAAGACCGGGATTTATGAAGAGCTGCTTCAAAGGAACCCAGTCCTCTCTGAGCAACCTCCCTGGCCTTGTGCTCGGGGTCTGGTTTGCCCCAATCTCTCCCTAGGGTTGAGCCCATGCCCTGGGAAAGGCCCTGGTGGGACCTTGGAGGAGCTGTGAGGCCATGGTGTGGGCAGGGGACGGTGCCAACCTTCGTCAGGATGGCAAATGATGGGTAAAGTCGGGCATTTAATTAATCAGCTCCAGATCTTTCCCAGCCCAGTGCCAGAGATCCCGCATGTCCCCAAACCTGTGGGGCAGAGCAGGCGATGGGGTCTCCTTTCGGCTCCCTCCCAGTGGGAGATGCTCCTGCTCTCACCCTCCTCTCCCAACTGCTTGAAGACCTGCAGAGGAGGCACAAGAAGGCGTCGAGCCCAGAAAATGGGGCTTGAGATTACATCGTGACATCCTAAACCATCAACTTAAACATAGCCAGACTGCGACAGATCATGGGAGGAGGAAAACCCATCCCCGGTTTGCACTGGTGTCTGAGAGCTGGTATTTTAGTAACAGAAATAGCCAAAAATTATTTGCAACGGATGAGAGCATCTTCTCTGCTGTGGAGATGCTGCCCGGTCTCATTTCTCTGGCCAGCGCTTGCTTAAATTGGGCTGTGGGGGTGGCTGCAAGCTGCTGGGTGGAACAGGACCCTACGAGATGCTGGCTGGAGCCTGAGCCCTTGTATTTGTACATATATACATACATACCTGTAAAAATGATACACTTATGTGTTTGTGTGTATGCATAGATATAGAAGATGCAGCTATATTTGTATTTTCAGGTGGGTGAATTGGGCTGGCTCAGGTCTTGTTGTACCCCAGCAGCTCAGGCTTGGCGTGACTGGGTGGGTCTAATCCTGCTGCTGCCGGGCTGGGAGCAATGGGAACAGCCCAGAGCCCCCCCCACCAAAACCCTGCTCACGCTGGAGGCTCAGCCCTCCCAGCCGGGGAGGTTATGAGGGTCTTTCAGGAGGAGGCAGCAGCCACAAAATGCTGGCGAATTTGCTGTCTGCCGTCATCTCACGATTGCTAGCGGGGATTCGGGAGCTGAGGGGGCTGGATGATGGGGCTGGGTGGGTGTTGTTTGCACTGATTGCTTTCCAGATCTCTCTCTATAATATAGCAAGTAATTTAGCAAAAAAAACCAAACAACCAACCCCAACCGATGTGTTTTGCTAGCTGCAAACTCAAAGTCTGGGTCAGATTTCGCCTGCAATGGGAATCAAATTGCCCCTGAGCTTTGCTGCCTCCCCCTCAGCCTCCATCCACCCAGGCACGCATCCGCCCAGCTCCGAAATAACCTCACCGTAACTCTGCCCTCGCTCCCCAGCAGCGTCTGGGCCAGAAATGAGCACCCAGCAGAGCCTTCAGGAAACATTAATCCTGCAATTTAACTGCTTACCCCTTCTCCTGCCCTGAATGCCCATGCACCCTCCCGACGAGCAGGCACCGCGATGCCGCAGGGATGGTGTCAGCACCAACGCCATGGTCCGAGTGGCTAAATTAGACTGGGGAGGTGGGAAAATGCCCCTTATCCCTCCTTGATTTACAGCTGATTGCCATGACAGGGAAGGACACTGCAAGGCTCATTTTCCCATCTGATTTAATCAGAGGGCGCAGCAGCACCTCCCAAGTGCAACCATTTGGAATTTGGCTTTGCTCTCTCCACTGGCTGATGGCCCTACCCACACCCAGGAGCCCAGCAAAAGCCCAATCCTCCTACGAGCATCCATGGGGCTCATGGCTGGGACCAGGACAAGTCCCCCCAGCAGAAAAACCCCGAGAGAGGCTGTGGGGGCTTTGCCCTGTGCAGGATTTTGCCCCTATGGAGGCAGCAAGAGCTGCACCCGGCTGTGGGTAACACGGGCCAGGGGTGAGGGTCCAGGTTGGGAGCCTGCTGCTCCCAGGGTTCAGCACTGAGCTGTTGAATTTCAGCCTCGTCCCACTAATGGTGACCTGCCTGAGGACAAGGACGCCCCTCTCTGTGCCTTTGTTTCCCCAGGGGGACGTCCCAGCTGCTGGGGACACCCAAGGTGTTCGAGTTGGCGGGTTCAGGCTGGGCATCTGCCTGATCCCAAAATGCAGGGCCCATCCCCGAGGCCTCCCTGAGGGGATGCAGGGGGCAAGGGACCAGTGTGATGGAGATGGTGTCAGCTATGGTGGGACCCCCCAGCCCTGCCTGTTGGGTTTGGCTCATGGATGGGCTGCGCAAGGAACCCGTTGGGGTGGAAACTCCCTGCTGGGACTATCAGTCTGTCCTGTCCGTCTGTCCTGCCCACTCCCACCAGTGGGAGCAGAGCCTAATGCAGCGAGGTCCTTCTGCAAAGCGAACACACAAATTGGGGTGTTTGTCCTTGCATGGAGCAGGATCCCGACACGGATCCTGCTCTGGTGGAGGTGTCTCTGCCCATGGCAGGGGTTGGGCTGGATGAGCTTTAAGGTCTCTTCCAACCCAAACCAGTCTGTGATTTGATGATTCCAACCCCAAAACACGCCCCAACCCCAGGAGAAGGAAAAGGGTTAACCCAGCGTCTGCCTGAAAGCCATCCCAGCTCAGAGCATCAGTGCGAGGTGACGCTCACGTGCTTGCACCCTCTGCCTCCCTACCTCCTGCCACCTCACTGGGATTTTCCTCCAGCTCCTTCGGCTCCTTGGGACCAGTCTGGGGCTGGAGGGGACCGAGCAGCACAGGGGCAGTGACAGCTGAAAAATGAGCAGTAAGGGAAGTTCCTGAAAAGAGAAGAGGAATCTGCCTTGAATGAAGAGGATTTTAGCACCTAGGGCTAAGCCAATAAACCTCTGCCAGCCCCATCTGAACGGGAATTGTTTGCACACACGCCGGGAATTGCTTAAAGCAGGCGAGACAGAGACTGAATAGCAGCAAGCATGGCCAGGGGAGAACCACCCTGGTAAGCCTGGGAGAAGCTCCCTATAGCACCCACCCAGAGAGGGGACCCACCTCGGGGTGCTCCCGCAGCGCTGAGCACCCAGGGACAGGCTGTGCCCCTGCCATCACCTCGCCTCGACGGGGACCACAGCGGGGAAGGTGCTCCCAGAAGATGCTGTGTGCTCCCAGGCTTCTCCATCACCTGCGGCCCTGGTCCGGCACCGATTCAGCTGACCCCAGGTGAAGGCTCTGCTTTGTCCAAGTCACCGTCCCCGAGGTCCCCATCCCAGCGGCGCGGTGGGACCATGGAGGTGTCCGTCCCCGCTGGAGGCATAACGGTGGCTCTCCTCTGCTGCTGCCTCCTGAGCTCTGCGTGGGCTCTGGTAAGTCTGTGTGGCTCTGTGGGCTCCTCCGATCCCTCTCCTGGCTTTAAATATTGTTAAATATCGTGTAACCCACTCCATTTGGGGGCCATGGTCTCCTCCTGGCTGCACATCCCGCTCCACAGAGCTGCCGGGCAGAGCCTGGTGGGAGGTGAGAGCCTCTCACTCCCATTAAAAGCTTCCCAGCAGCCGTGGGGCCACCGCGCCGTGATGGTTTTTCCATTTTTCAGATGCATCCAGGGCAGGGTTTGCTGCCTCGGAGGTGTCAGGGGACCAGAGCAGGGCAATTTACAGTCAGCACAGGCGAGGCTGGGGGGATGCAGCAAGGGCACCCCCTCCTGCCTTATGCCCCTCACCAGCCCTCTTTGCCCCCCACTGCTTTTGGGCCGAGGAGGGGGCTCAGGATGTCCTCTCTGGGGCAGGATTCAGCCCCACTCACCTATGAGCAGTTTGGGACCCAATGCAACCTCCCCCTGCATCCTGGTTCCTTTGCACTTCCAAAGCTCTTTCCTCACCCCAGCTCCAAACTCATCTCCTCAGCCCAAAACATCCCAAAAGATGGGGATTGCCAGCCCCGGCTTCAAGGGGCTCATCGTGGGCACCAGGGACACCCAGTGCTGCTGGCGGGGTGGGCGAGGAGAAGGCAGAAACCCAGAGTGCCACTGATTTCTGGCACAGAAACAGGAATGGAAATGGACCAGGGACAGGGTGGAAGCGGGGGCTCATGGTCAGCCTCAGCCTTGCAAGAGGGAAAAATGATTGCAGGAAGGCGGCAGCGCTTTCCTCTTCCCCAGAGCGTTTGAATCTCCCTAAAGCCACACAACCCTGACTTGTGCAGGGAGAGCACGGCCGTGCTGTGGCTGCTCTGTCAGCTTCCATTCCTCATGTGTCCTCCTGTCTTCCCTCTCACCATGGCTTTCACTCTCATCTCTTGCCCCAAGGATGGTCCTGCTTGATGCTTTCAGTCGGTGGGTGAGACCACTGTGACACTGGGTTCAGCAAAGCAGCATTTCCGCGTCAGGAGATGACGTTCCCATTACAGCCCTTCGGTCTCGTGTTGTTTTGGATGTGGTGTTCGTTGGCTGGGTGGATTCAGGGGTCGTGGCAGGGAGCTCCAGGGTGCTTTGTGGCAGCAGAAGTGATGTGGGTCCTGCACAGAGTGGGGAAGCGCTTGTGGGGGTCTCATCAGCCACCTTTGGGGTGCAGCTTCACTCC